ATATATATATATATATAATAAAACATTTGCCAAATTATGGTATTCTATGAAAAAATGAATGGTAAATTTCCAAAAAAACATTAATTTTATTGAAATATTATTCAAAAGTAATAAAAGATCATTAGTTCCTATTTGATACTATAAATATTAATTTTCTTTACTTGACTCTCCCAAATGATTGGTCTAGTGCAGTTATCACATCTTGGTGATTTTTTTTTATCCTTGTTTAATAATAATATTATATCTGCATGACTGAAAAGTTGGGATATTGTGTGTCTCTTAAACTTAAAAAAAGGTAAGCTAACATTTTGGGAATCGCATATTTTGAAACATTACTAAAATGCTGTTTCAAACTTGTAAATTTACCAGTCAGTTGCCTTTTTAAAATTTTGTATCATTTATAAAATACATAAAAGTATAGCACAACATAAACACAATCTTGTTATAATTCATGATATTTTGTCTGTCTGTTATCTCCGTCCACAGTTTTGGTCTGAGCATCACCAAAATTTGTCTGCATAGTAAACCTGAACCATGGAGTGTCCTAACAGGATTAGAATCTTGAATTATTTCTTGAGATGGGGTGTGTGTGTGTGTGTCAAATGCTCATAATAGGCCAACAGCAAGTAGCTGATTTCTAAATGCAAGACTATCTTATTGTAATGCACATGTGTGGTGAGATATTAAAGACAAAAGTAAATATTCAGAAATCAACTTTCTGCTTTTATTTCATTTCCACCACACCCATTTTCATATCTCCATTATACTACTGAAATACTGTCCATAGAATGAGTGTAATTGTTAGTAGTAAAAAAGTTATGAAAATGTAAAGAAAGACAAACATAGTCAAAATTGTGTACATTAGTTCAAAAGATATCAAAATTTCATTGAAGGCAAGAAAAAAAAAACAACCAATACCTAGCACTTAAAATTAATAAGAAATTTTCAAAAATCTTACTCCAAAAAGCAAAATTCCTTTCCAAGGTTTTCTTTTCCCCGTGAAAAGATGAGGGAACTTGATGGGAAGTATCACAGCTTCTTTCAAAGCCTCCTTAGCTCCTTCTAACCCAGCCACATCAGCCCACATGACATTAGGTTTTTCCATTACAATAGCACCTGGAAGCAAACAACGAATAAGTTCTTTCTCAGACTCATTAAAAAAAGAGGAATGCCTAATAATTTTCAGACAAATATAATTAAACTTTCCTGAATGCACATGTCATCAGTACAACATAACAAAATGGGTCAATAGTTTCTAGTTCGTAGATTTAAACCCAATTTTTAATATTCAATTGTTATCAGATACTGACATTTTAAACTATTTATACTAATTTTGAACAAAAATCAAACTAATTAACAATACAAAGAAGCTAAAGAAATATAGCTAGATAATTTACATATAGCTACTATTCTGTTAGAACATAAACATCAGCCCTTCATGTTTTGAAAATGCATGAGGGCTGTAAACAGTCCCTGCAAAATATTCCACAGCATCTGCTTGCTGACTGACGCCATATCCTGATTCTTTGTTTACAAAATTGGACAGTAAAAGTTAATTTGTATTGACTGAATTGCACCATTTTTCTATCAACAAAACAGAGTTTCGCTGGCTAAACTGAGGCATGTTCAAAGAGAGCCACTAAACTATGATGACCCCCCAACTAATATAACAGCCCTTGTGGCCTCGTGTCAGGCAAAAAGCAGTTCATCATATGCAAGTTAGGTCACAAACAAATTTGCTAAACTCTTCTTACTAGTATGAATTTGCTAATAATTAATATTCAATTCTGTAATTTAAACTTTAAAACATTGACTCAGTTAAGAATATTCAATGTGTATATATATATATAACAATATAGTTCAAAAATGTCATATTACTGTAACATTGCTAGCCTAGGCCAATTATAATCAAAGTATAGGAGTCAATGGGGTCACAAGAAGATATATGTGAGTACCCTTCAAGCTGAGTCTTTCTACAAAAAAAAAGATTAATTTAAAACCTCTAATTAAATACTTCAGAATTTTTACTTCTTTAATTGCTTCCATTCAGTTCCAATTCTACTAGTTTGAAAACAAACATGTACTACTGAGATGCATGTTTCTATATCTACCTTCTAACTGATTAAGAAGTTTCTTCTTGTCTGGATCATCTTCTTCACTGTCACTGTTATTTTCTTCTTTTCTAAAATAATAGCATTTGTACGCTATTTAAATATGTTTCAATGAATATGATGCAATTATTCAAAAATAAATTAAATATAAGCTATAGTCCTTAGCTAAAAACTTAACTTTATTTTTGTTAATTCTAAATGATGCCAAATTACTGAAAGGCTCAAAATTCACAGAACTTACAATGTGATTTTTACTAACAGTCATTCTGGTAATAATTTTTCTTACGTACATAACTTTCAAGTGCTAATAGCGTTATTAATGAAGCTGTAATCTACAAAAACCAGAAACAGTCATAACAACAACAATAAAATATTTCAAAAATATTAAATTTTGGTCAAATGGTGTTCATTTGTCTTCTATTAAATGTATTGTTACTTCTTCACACCACAGTTGCTGACATTAGAATTTTGTAAGAACACCTTGGCAGATCTTATTTAAGTATTTGCCAGCTTGAATACTGTTAGGTGCACAAGGAACTGCATGAAAAATAATTTTATAAATTGCAAACACACACACACATTAACCCTATGTGCATGGGTGGGGGTCAAAGTGAGTATATAATGATCTTTAACAGAGCACCATTCATCATGGTATTGTATATGATGACAGAGTCATCAACTGTTCATTTTACCCTATATTACTTACTTGGTGACAGTTTGTAGTAGAGGAGAGTAAATAACAGAAATAATGTATATGAATACTGAAAAAAACTATAGGTATGCATTATGGAGGTACTAGAAGTTATGCAAATGCAACATGCAAACTGTATGATGAACAAAAGTATTTTTATTCTTCACATGAATGTTAACATTTTCCTTACCTCAAAATGTATTTCTGATAAATACTCACCTTTACACACAGAAAGCTATTTTCCCCATTTATCTGTCCTATAGATTTGTATTCTACTAGTCTTTAGACAACTACCACCTAAACTTCAGAGATTTCTTATGACTTGCGCTACTGCATAATGATGTTATTATGCAGTAAAAGTCCTCTACCAATAGGAAGGTGACATAATCTCCCTGTGTACTAGCTCCCTCTGTGCTTTTGCACTCATGATCTTCACTCTATTCCTCAGCACCAAACACATCAGATGTGTTTTTACTTTGTTAATTTACTGAGATTTGGGAGGTTTAGGGAACTTTATTTCCTTCTTTTTTTCTTCGAACCATGAATACTAGTTCATGTAATATCTTTTACTACTTGTAGTGCCTAATTTCCTCACACAGGTTGTGTCACAGTTATGGCTCATTGTTCCAGAGTAATTTCAATTTTCTTGCATTCTTAAGCCTTAATTTCTCAGGTATGCACCATTTACTTTTCCCGTGTCATGTCTTTCTTCATCCTCGCCGTAATTCATTTCATTTACCACTACTGGCCTACTTACACGACATCAAGCCTCGCCCTTTCCGTCTATATGATTCTAATTTCCTCATTTTTGTCTTTCTATATCCCCTTTCATGACTATCATGTTTGGGATTGCCCTTGCCTTTTGCCATCCCTTAGTTCTGGCTGTCGCTGCTTTCCACCAGGTCTGGTCTTATACTTGTCATAATGCTCACCCATCTTCCTGCAAGCTATGGAACTTATAATCACTAGGATTCATGTCTATCCTACTCATTCTGCGTGTGAGGTTTAGTGTTTAGTAACAGTGGCTTCATGTAGACTGGTTATTCTTTTAGGTCACACACATGTGCACCTCTTCTGCTGGCCCTTGTGCATCCAGTGGGATGCCACATGGGATTCTTTGACCTCAATGGTTCTCCCGTCCTTTCCTCTATTTTAGTATTTGTACATGTAGCTGGACTAATCCAATATCACCATCTGTGTTCCATTACCTCCACCCATACTGGACCTTCACCTCTTCATCTATGCTTCCCCCTCTTGTTGAGGAGCATCTAGCACATATAACCAGGAAGAGTCCTCTCTCCATACCCAAGCACTTGAACTTCTGGTAGACTGTCAGGCATGATACCATTATTGGCACTACTCATTTTGTTACTTTCCATTCCAACAACTCATTGTTTTTTTTTCTTAATTAACTGCCATGGGGATTTCAATCCAGAATACCTTGTTTTCCATTCCTGGACCTTCCTTATTGGGCCAGTTCTCAAATAGGTTGGTTTCCTCACCCGGCATGTATTGCATACTATGTACTGGGTTGCAGACTGCCTTTTAGCCAGACCATTCTATCTACAGCTGGTCTCTTTGGGACTCCACTCGTTGTTGCCTAGATAATCCTCTTACTTTCAAACTTCCTCTCTTCTGATCATCTGTTCTCCATCCCTTGGTTCTGAGTGTTGCTGCTTTCCACCAGGTCTGGTTTTATGCTTTTCATAATGCTCACCCACCTTGCTGACCTTTACCTTGGGTCATCTTGGTAGTACCCCTATGGCTGGCTTACCTTTGGTTCCCTCTCTTATGCCACCTGAAAACCTAACCCCTTCTCCTGCCTATTATATACACTATTGCTTCAACATTTCCCATCTCCTTTCCATCACAAGATCTTGTCCTTCCACTTTCACATTTCGATTTGTCTGATCCATCACCCATTGAACCGGACTTTCCTATCTGGTACTCCTTTCCTTTTTTATTATGGGGATTATTCTACCCAGTCCTTTTACCGGATTTGTCTGATCCATCGCTAATTGAACCAGACTTTCCTATCTGGTATTCCTTTCCTTTTCCATTATGGGAATTATTCTACCCAGTCCTTTTACCCGTGTGGAGGGAATGGCTTCTGATGTTGGTTCATTCATCACCACTTTCCTTCTGATCATTCTACTGTTGGACATCTTCCTTACCGTTACCAGGCTGTTTAATAGAGTTCAGCTGTTTCTGCCTTTGCTAGTTATTGGACAGCCTTGTCTTCATAGTTTCACATTCTCAATACTGCAAGGTGTTTCCTCCCCTTTTCTCTCCACCTTGTTCTGGTCCTTCCTCATCCAAGGACATACCCTGTTCCCATGCCATGCCCAACTGGAACTTCAGTGTCATCCTGAATGTTCTTACCCATGCCCCTTTGAGCTATTGGCAACCTGTAACTTCTACCACTTTCTCTTTAGACATATTCCTCTTACTTCTGGCTTGTCACTGCCCTTATGCAGATCTTTATGCTAGTGACTCATCCCATCTATTTTCCATTGTCCTTATATTCTTAGTTCTCCAGAGCAATCCTTCACCCCTCAGTCTTCAGTTCTTCGAGTAGGTGACCTCTACTCTCCTACTCTCTCCTTTCCTTAAATCTTACTTTTCTATGATCATTCAGACCTTTGTGCCCTGGTCATTGCTACTTATCTCGTACCTCTCATTTTCAGGGTTTCCATCTTTCACTCTACATTCCCAGGGTTTCCTCTTCCTCTAGGGACAACTCTCCTCTTACCTTTATCAGTAGGGTCTACCACATTCTTTGTTTGGTCTACTCCACATAGAGGGTTGTTGCTCACAGATGGTTCACATTTCATCCCATCACATTTGTCTCCTCTCTCATTCTCTCACCACTTGTTTCTGAAAGTCGCTGGACAAGATCCCTCCAGCTGGCATGTGACTACCTCACATAACTTCGTTGCCCACTCTCTTTACTGTCTAGCTGTCTCATCTCCTGTGGATTACTGCCTGCTTCCGTTGGCTATCTTCCAGTCTACCAACCGTCCTTAGTCAGGTGAGTACATTCTCTCCTTTTTTTTCTAGCATTGTTCCTATGAAGCTGCTAGGTGGTTTGTGGTGCTTCCCAGCGTACACTTATTTCCCAAAATTCTGCATCAAGCTAGAATAATGGAAAGTGTTCATATCATCCACCCTGACTTTATATATGCCCACTGCTGAGATGAGGTATTTAAGCAATATTCCCAGTCCTTATCATTCTATGGGAAATATTGGAATTGATTTGAACCATGTAGATACCGATCTCTTGGCAATAAGTAGAAAGACTAAGACATTAAAAATAAAGTACCAAGACCACACAATGAATTCAGTAAAATATTAAAGGAGGTCAAAGATCATATATGTGAGCCTCTCTCTCTCTATTTTCTGTAGGTAAATAGACAGTAAGCAGATGTCTGAGGAATGAAGAGCTGGTAATATTACTACTATTTTTCAAGTGTTGCCTTAGAAACTATAGAACTATTAGTCTTACTCCTGTAGTGGGAAACATTTTAGATAGTCTGATAAAAGAAGCTTTATAAAATCATTTAGTGAAACACTATAACATGAACACAAGTTTAAAGATTTATCAAAGACAAATTTTGTTTTACTAATCTGCTATCTTTATTTTTAAGGATGTTACTTGTTATCTAGACAGTGGAAATGGTGTATACTTGGTTTATATAAGTTTTCAAAAAAAACTTTTGATAACGTACTACATAAAATTTTTTCTAAGGATATTACATTAGTAGAGAGTTAGAGAAGGACTAATTAATTGGACAGTGCAGTACCTCAGAAATCAGTATTTGAGCCTTTGCTCTTTTCTTATTTACATTATTGACATAATTAGTAAATTAGTAATATCTGTTGATGATAAACTCTTTGGAATTTCTAGCCATACTTAGGACTTTGAGGTACCATAGAATGACTTGGATCAATTGGTACGCAGAATAAATGACCTTTAACCCTTTCCACACCAGGGTGGGCATTCAGTGATAGCCCTTGATTTTTTTAACTTCTTATAGTGGATACTTAATCAAATTGCATGCAAATTCTGAGAAACATATTAAACAGTGTCTAATTTGGCTTAGAAAAATAAATATAATTTGATTTAGTTTTTTATAATACTTTAGATCATGAAATTCCAAAAAACTCTGTTGTGAGACACTTTTTGTAACCATTAAAAATACTTCTTTTCATCTTGCAACATAAACATTTTTATTGACGATCAAAGAGTTTCATTTTATATATCCATCACTTTGGACTTGGTTGATTTTCATTACATATTTATTTTGAAACTTTATTCTGCCATTTACAATGGCCACCACTTATGGCTATAAATCATAATAAACACAGTGTAAAAATACAGTGATCCAAGACTTAACTTTTCAAAATGGTGTTGGGTCAAGCTAGCTAAAAATATTCTAGGTTGAAATAAATTTATATCTAATAAATATAATTTTTCTTCAGTAAATTGTAATCATTTCATTGACATGCATTTTTTGAACAAAATAAACTTAACAACAGTATTCAATAAATAAGGATTTGAGTCAGTGGATTATTTTGCTGTTGCTGCCATACTCTCTAAGCCTATTAAGAAATCTAATTCATTTTCAAACAAATATAATTTAACATGACAATATGTTCAGAAATGGAAAGAATATTTAAAGAAACTAAAAAAAATCCCAGGACAATTGTTTATTCCCGACTTTTTTAAACTTCCCACTATATTCCTTTGTTTTTCTCTGTAGGAGCTACATCTAATCACTTTCTCAAGAAACCATACATTATTTTTCATACTGTGTTATTTACTTTACATTGACATAAATAGTTTTAATATTCTCTAACTAATGGTATTCAAACTTTGCGTGTAGCTATTTTCAACGATGTTCTTCATTAGCAATTGCTTCCACCCCTTCATGACTTCACACAAGAAATGTGAATGAAGGGTCTGTAATAATAAACTATTAGACAGAGAAGGAAAATCAAGAAATTGTTTGTTTGTTTTGAATTTCGCGCAAAGCTACACGAGGGCTATCTGCGCTAGCCGTCACTTATTTAGCATTGTAAGACTAGATGGAAGGCAGCTAGTCATCACCACCCACTGCCAACTCTTGGGCTGCTCTTTTACCAACGAATAGTGGGATTGACCGTCACATTATAATGCCCCCATGGCTGACAGGGCGAGCATGTTTGGTGGGACGGGGATTCAAATCCGTGACCCTCAGATTGTGAGTCGAGTGCCCTAACCACCTGGCCATGCCGGGCCCAAAATCAAGAGAAAAACAAGACTTGGTTAATTGTATTCTCAAGGGATAATAGTGTCTTAGCAAATGAAAGCCTATACATTGGGATGGACAAAAAAATGTTAAAAATTCAGTAAGTGTGTTTCTTTACAGGCAAGGCTTCTCAAAAATGTGCAGAAGTCTAAACTTTTTTTAAATTTTCTTTTTACAAATCACACTATATAAATGTTACAAAATAACAAATTATCAATTCTAAAAAATACTTTTCAGGTAAAAATTGTTGAAATAGTTAGAATTATTATTTTTACTTAAATTTTGAAATTTCATGTTTAGGCATGCACTTGACACCTTAAAGGTGTTCATTAGTCTGGAAAGGATTCATTAATATAAATATAACATAATATATACAGGTTATCACAATTAACAGATCTTGGCATAATTGTTGATAAGTCACTCAAGTCACTGAAGCAGTACTTAGTTGCTGTTAGTAAATCTAATAAACGTTTAGGGAGTGTTTACTTATCTGTCTACAGTTAGGTCTCACTATGAATTTTGTACTGTTTTGGTCTCCTTATCTAAGAAAGAAAATGAATTTATTGCAAAGGGTTCAGAGGAGGGCTACAAGGATGATTTTTGGGATGACAAGATTATTTTACAAGGACAGGTAAGGATCTCTTGGCTTAGTTTCTTTTAAGAAAAGAAGGGTAAGAGATGATTCTACTGAAGTTTACACAACTTACTGATGGTGTTGACAGGGTAAATACCTCTGGTTTCTTTTTGCTGTATTCTAAAGATAACAGGATGATGAGACAGAAGTTCAAGATTTAGAAAAGACATACTAAGCACCAGTTAATAGTTCTATTTTTCTAACATGGTGATTGACTTATGGATTGAAGAAAGCACACAATTTCTTTATCATCTAAGCAGATTAAGCCAATATAATTAGAGGCACAGCTACCAACATATCCTGCTGAGCTTTTTCTTGTACCTAATTGTATTCTGTGTTGATGTGACAAAAGGAAAAAATTAAATTTCCTTTCCAGAAAAACTGTATCATTAATTCAAAGTTTTATAAAAGAATGAATTATAAATTATAAAGACATGATTATCAAGAATAGATATGATTTTTTGGCATTTACAAAACTTTGAATTAATGATACGGTTTTATTATTATATTTTTTTTACACAAAATAAGCATCGCTGTTAGAGGTGCAAGATATCCTGTTCAAGTTATTGAGATAAATTCTGTTTGAACTGATGTGTCAAATAGTTTTACCAATTCCTTACTCAACAATTTTATTTTGATACATAAATTTAACGTTAAAGTATTTTAAGACATAGACCAAAATGGTACATATTAAAATCATATGACAGTCACTATTAAAACTATATATATAATTATTCCTAGGTAAGCTGGTAATGAAATATTTTTCTCACTTGGATCCATTTTCTCCTGCCTTTACTGGCTTCTTTTCCTTATCCTTCTTCAGATAAGACTTAAGTTTTTCTGCTCTTTCTAAATACTGGGTACATTTAACACGAATACTTTCCTTAGCTCTTTCACTCTGTGCTTCATCTGCAGAAAGAACCAATTTCATTTCTTTTTGAACATGTCAACATTTCTATTTTTCCTTTCATCTTTTTCTTAAAGAAAACATTCGCTGCTGTTTATTAAATTTAATCATGGACTAGTAATAACGTGAACCACATTTTGAAAGAAAAATTGTTAATTAAATTCTTTTAGTTTTATGACTGATAAAGTGTGCACATTAATACACTACTTTAAACAGCCAAGTTTTTTATTCTATTCCACTTTACTATTCATTAATATTAACACTTGGTTTGAAAATTTGTAGAAAACTGAAGGCTATTTTTTTTATTATTTTTCTAAATAATGCATATCTCAGCTAATAAGCCAAACCTATTGTGATTACTATGGAAAAGCTTCAGAGGAGGTCTAGGATGATTCCATGGATGGGTTATCTTATGGAAATAGGCTAAAACATCTTAACTAAATTTTTCTTGAGAAATGGAGGATAAAAGGAGATCTGACTAAAAGTTTATACAATTATACAGGATTATTAGATAAAGTTCTCCAATTTTTTGGTGTTGTTTTCTGAACACAATAGGATGAGAGGACAAGTTTAAGACTTGAAAAAGACACCAATTAACACAATTTCTGTTTTTTTAAACAAAGTGATTAACTTGTGGAGTGAGTTTCTGTTGGCAGTAAAGTGTAGGCTAGCAGTTTTATAAGGGTTTAATAAGAGAAGAACAGATAATTTCCTCGGAAGCAAGGAGTGGATTTACATTTTTTTTTTCTTCAGTGGAAGGTGTGTAGGAAACAAATTTGAAGGGCCAAATGGTCCCTTGTTGTCAGTAAGGTTAAGTTCAAAATGTAATCATACTGGTAGCTTTAATTCTGTCGTCATGTGGCTAATGTTATGCTCATTATTGCATGATAAGTTTTAAGTGTGCCACCATATGGTAAGCCTATCTATTCTACAAGTATATAATATGGTTATATGCAACAAATTTAAACTATCAACCATAATTTGTGATCAAAGCAAGCTAAACTATAAATCAATCTGATAATCATTAAAGCTAATTAAATATACTTTTCTTATGTTTCTACTTATATATCTGAATGTATTGTTTCGTCAGCTGGGTACCCTTGGTATTAATGATATTTTTAGCCATAATCCCAATAATATCTCATGAGGTTTGGTCAGCTTAGGAGACTAGATTAGTCTTAAATATATATATATATATATATATACATCAAGCTAAAAATGCAAAACAATCTTTATAATAAAAGTATCACAAATCAAAATACAAGAGCTCAATCAAACCCAAAAACTAGTTACAAACACTTATTAGCAAAAATAGTTAATTGGGGGCAGAAAATTGAGAAATAAATAAAAAATTGCAGATTCTGTCTCCAGTAATAGTAAGTCAAAGAAGCTTACTCTGGAATGCTAGACAACTGGATTTACAGACTTTATGACAAGTCCTAACACATAAAATATTAATAAAAAAATAATGTTTTAATATTTCACATAACACAAGATGCAGAATTTTTTTTTTCAAACTTATTATCAAATATAAATGAACTATTAAAATTTTGGCTATATTAATACTTGAAGGGAATTTGAAAACATTTTTCTTGCACTCTGACACCTGTAATTGGCCACATAATCTTTACTCAGGTCTTTCATGTTCCTGTTCAGTATTAGAAAAAATATAAAGATTAACATCAAATAAGTGCAATTTTCATCTAAGCCATTGTGAACTACTGAAAACCTCAATTTGTTTCAGCCTTGCTGTTTAAACCTTTTACCACTCACATACACATACTTACATTTAATGGCATGAAGAAAATATTCAACCCCATGATTATACAGTTTGAAAGCTTCACTGTAATTCTTCTTCCTGTCTTCTTCTGTAGCCCTTGTCACCAAATCAATAGCTTTCTGTACAAAATAAATAACTATGTAAAATACACTTAACTGAGATTGTTAAATATCAGAATGTCATTACTTATAAAAAAAAAGATGTATTTTGACAATACTTAACAGATAAATAAAATATTAAGATACTGTCTACAGTACTAATAAGTAAAAAAAAAAAAACTTACCCTGGAATACTAGACAACTGGACTTAGAGACACTTTATATTAAGTTCTAACACATAAAACATTTTTCAAAAAATCTTTAACGTTTTAATATTTCACATAACACAGAACTCACAAAATTATTTCTTCCAAAATTTATAATCAAAGATAAAAGAACCAAACTATTAAAATTTTGGTTATATTAAATATTTACAGGGTTCTCACAATGAAGGATCCTGGACTCTCAGCTCTCTCTCAAGAGTCCCATAGGTAAAATTTAGTAAACTCAAAAAAAAACATTTCTCTGTCAATGAAAAACTTTATTTACAATTTACACTGAATGTTGTTTACCTTTAAGAGTGTAAAGTAATTTTCATGATAAGATTAAAACTATTTTTCTTCTGAAAATTTTCAATTATCATTTTTCATAACCCTAAAAGCTCCTAAATAAATATAAATTTCTTTTTTTCAGATAAACACTATATTTTTATCTGTTATTTTCTTTACCCTAACTCTGTATGAGGCTGGTTGATTTGACCAACTTCGTAACCACCATAAGAAGTTAGGAAATAATTATAACTTTCTGCTATGTTCTTTCTGGAATGACTGCAAACTGTAACAGAAAACCATGCAGTTGTTTATCCTAAGCAGCTTAAAGCTTGTAACAGTATACATCTATTATATATAATTTTTATTCTTTTATTGCCTTTTGAACCGTCTCTATCTACTATTTGTGCCATATAAATTGCAAATCATGTGGTAAATGTGCAGCTCACATTATGGTATCGAATTACATAATGCACGGACTACTCCCAAGTGTACCTTATAAATATTATTATTAATAATATCATGATATATATTACTTTATCTAACCTAAAAAAAATTAAATTTTTACATTTTAGTTACTTTTATAATAATAAATAAAGAATAAACTGTGAATTTCTTTTTTTGCTCTCGACTGTCAATGAAACTTAACCCAACTTTTTTACACTAACTGTACTACTGAATTAAATAATTTCCATTTTCGTAAAGCACCAAAGAACACAGAATAATAACATGTGAAAAAGAAACAATGTACCATAACTATAATTATTTTTCTGTCTTTCTAACTGTGCTACAAAAGTCATTCAAAACTCAGCTAAACTCATTGATGTGTTTCCAGTGGGTATAAAGTTTGAACTGGAAGGAAAATAGACAATTCTCTGGACAGACAACTACGTAATATAATACATTATTTGACAGAGAAAAACGTGGGCTTTCTATTGGTTATATAGAATGTAGTACTATTGTCAAGTTCTGAAAAAGTTGTGACAGGTGGGTGTGGCAAGAAGGGTCTGATTTTCTATTTTATTGCTTTGTAACTAAATAAGATTGAAGGTTATGTAAGTTAGGCTTTGCGTGAGCAATGAAAATATTATAATAAGTAATTTAGATTCAATATCGTACTTCTCAGAGGGGTGGTAAAACATTAGAGAAGAGGGGATACCTAGATAACAAACGTCACAGTTCTCATACTAGGGGAAATTGAGAATTTTAAAAAATATTTCCTTATAAAATAATAACTTAAAACTTAAATAATACTAAACATTGATTTATTATCTACATCCCGATGCTGAGTTTCTTCATATAAATTGAGAAGAAAGTAGTTTAACTCTTTCAGCATGGGCTCGGTCCTTGGGACTGACCTTGTACCCATTTTGTGCTTGTTATAGTTTTCAGGCTATAACTTTTAAATTAGTGAGTGAATGTTAACGAAATTTGGTACATTACCAGTAAACATTACAATGCTTTCATATGCAAAATATTAAAATTTTTCATTAAGTCTTAAGGTTTGTAAAGCATTGTTTTTCTCATGCTTTTTTTCTTTTCGCATGTTGCCTATCCATAATGCAAAGTAACTTTCATTTTAAGATTAAAAATACTTTTATGCATCAGAAACTTTTCAAATTTCACATGCAAAGTTTTTGTAATATCCAGATAGTTATCAAACATTTCTTAAGAAAAAACTTTATATTTCATCTGTTATTTACAGTAATGAATCTCTGTATGGGTTTGGTAGATTGTAAAATACAGTCACATTTCAATTATTATATATGTATATAGATTATTGCTATTTTGAAATAAGTTCTTAAACTTATTTTTCTTAAAACATAAAACAGTAAATAAAGAAGTAGAGCAATCAATTATCTCTTCTAGTTATGACCTTTGTATTCAGTTGCTGTTTGACATAGGTTGCCAAGCCTTTAAAAAATTTGCACATGGAAGATAAGAAACAAAATAATTTTTTAAAGTTTTATATACACATTTGAATAACTAAAAATCATAAATTACTACATCTATACCATAGAATTCCACTATAATTTATCAAGAGTAGTATTTTTAGTCTAAAAAAATATGAAATTTCAAACAGACTAAAGGCACACCCAACCTCCTACAAATATTGGTTCAAAAGAAAGAAATGGCATCCAAGCCTGTTAAAATGGCAGAGAAAGCCACTAGGGGAGATTCTGAGATTCCGATTGGTTATTCGTGTCATATATAGAAGTGTGTATAAGGGAGTGTTTCCAAAAATGGAAAGAGGTGGGCAGGGTGCCACTGTGTTTGATTTATTACATGAGCAATATCTTAGCAAATAGAAAAGATAAGATGTTCTTATTTTATATTCTAGCTTGTTAATATCTGTAATTAGTGTTTTGACTTCACTAACATCTAATTTGAACCATTGGTGCATTCAACATACCATGTGACACACAAAAATCAATGTTTATCTGTGTTTTTTTAATATTTACTTTTAAATTAAGAAACTCTGTAATATATAGTACT